AGTCGTAGAGGTCGTTTTGTAGCATGTCGCGGGTGAAGGAGTAGACGAGTGCCATGGTGGGAATGAGATGAGGAGGCTGACCTGAAGTATTTATCTGCATCACTTGAAAGGATGCTAATGGCATGTTTAACTTCTACTTTAACTAGCGCTGTGAAACACTCTGTGTCAGCGTGTGACAATGTTTGTTGTGCTGCGCGCATTGTTGCCGTAATTGACGTTAATTGACTACAACTACCAGACAACCGTCTTTAACTAGATAATTAAGATTACGGAACGGATTACCACTATAGCATGTTTTTATACTTAATTAGCGTCAATATAAGTTGATCAAGCGTATATTGTTACGTCCAAGCGGGTAGTCTAAATAACTACCAGGTAGTCTGGTTGAAGCCTGATCGAATTCTGCATAATGCCATAAGCCCCACACCGCCTTTGTCTTTGATAGACGGCTTGTTTAATTAATTAAACACACGTGTTGGCCGAGGGAGTTATATTATATCCACATGTGTTGTCGTGGGTCGGTTTTAAATTGTGTCACCTCAGATGACAGGTTTATTGCAGCAAATTCAACATTATAAAGGTTACCTTTAACCTGTGCAATAATGTCAGTCAATAAATAAATTGCAAGTGATTCCATGTCATTTGATTGTCTAACCAAGCAATTTGCGTTTATGCTTCCATAAACCGAAAAATGGGCCACGCCCTTTCGCGAACTACTGTTTCCTGATTGACTGACAATAGAGTGGGCGGGGCTTGTGTTGCATTACTGCGCTGAACGATGTCACCGATTTCGAATCATATGTGCATTTTATTTGTTACTGAATAAATAAGCAGTCTGTGCAGTTGGTCATTATTTATTTATTTATTTATTTATTTATTTATTTATTTATTTATTTATTTATTTATTTATTTATTTATTTATTTATTTATTTATTTATTTATTTATTTATTTATTTATTTATTTATTTATTTATTTATAGAATTTAGCCTCCATCAACGCAAAAAATATATTAAATTCGATTCTTTATAACACCTGGCGTCATCGCTTATTTTCAGTTATCCATTCATGCATTTTTCAGCGTTATTTTGCCTCTTATGCCCTATGGAATCTGTTTCGACGAATAACCCTGCCTGATTACGCTCTGGCGTTGACGTATTGAATATGTCCGAAATTGAGTAAGCGTGAATATTGGGAAAGCATAACACATATATATCCAAGGTAGCTGTGAATACAATATTTCGTAACTATATTTTAATGATATGCCATGAAGTCATATGCATACATTGTAATAGTTCGCACTTTCTCTGTCTGCCACAATACCTAGGTTAGACTCACCATTGACGTATTTTCAACGCTTGCGCCTATAGATTTAGTTCGAAACAGTCGAAAATTCAACACATCCGGGATAAAATAGTGATAAATTCAGAAAGCATTTGCCCGGGCCGGACTGTGATCTCGACACGACCGGGGCTTCGACACATCCGAGTTCGAGACAACGGAATTCGAGTGTACATAGTGCTTCACTCGATATTATGTAGCCGAGAATGGTTTAAACGTACTCTCTCTCTAACGAATATGAGACGACTTTTCATAGGGACATTTGTTTTCCTGAGTAATGCCTAACAAAGATTTCCACATTAAAGTTAATATCATAGTAATGACAAACAAATGATTGTTTTTAACATGTATTGACAGAAAAGCATCGTTTTTAAACGAACTACTCCGTGAAGAACAAGAAAACGCTTTTTCAAAGATGTTCTGACGAACCTTTATAGCCATAAGTGAAAATGCGTTATTGTGATATTTATGAAAATGATGAATGATACCACTACATAATCAGAAAGAGCAATTCCGCATACTTGCTTATACATGGTTTTTTTAAGGACATGCTTACCCTTTTCGCGAACACCTGGCGTCATCACTAAATTCCAGTGGTCCATTCATATAATTTTCACAGATATTTTGCCTTTTACGCCAAATGGAATTTGTTACGGTGGATAATCGAGACAGACAATTTATATTTACAATAAGGCCTACCTTTAAAGCACTGTAAAAACATATATCAGCTCCAAGTTCGGTTGGTTGAAGGAATAAAAAAAGAAAAAAAGGTATGTCAGAAATGTCATTTTGTAAAAATAATAAAAACACACCCAACATAATAAGGCCCTTTCTTATTCATGAAAGTCAAATGTTTGTTGTCTTCCCGTGTGGGCTCCTTTGATGTTTATGTTGTTGGAAGTGGCACCACATTCAGTGGAAAGGAAAAACACCCGTTCCTTATGTAATTATATTACATATAGGTAAATCTAGTAATTAAAACAGAACCAAGAATATGGTATTTTATCTGTTTTCAAATTTTCTTTCATGGATTTGTTGGCCCTCATAAGGGCCTTTGAAATTAAGAATGAATTAACATGAACTCATGTTTACGAAGAAAGTCTTTGTTCAACTTTTCCGATCTGGTACTTGAGGAGGGCTATTTCTTCAGCCTTCTTCCATGCGTACTCGTAGTACGTGTTCCGTATGCCCTCCGTTACCCTCTGCCGGAGTAGAAGGTTATATCGGAAGGTGGGTCTGCTGTTGGCGATGTCGCGGCGATGTTGTATGTCGTCCAGTCTAGCGTCCAGGAGATATATTTGGTCACATGCGCGGTTGAGTCTGCTTTCAGTCTCGACCAACGCCAATTGCAGCTTCAGCAACGTGAGTGTGGGCATCATAGTAGTAGTTGCTGTTGAAGTCGACGTCGCAAGACAGATGTTGAACATGTGGTTCTCTGTTAGGATTTAGTAAGGAATGACTGTTTTCTGTGTGGTTATATATAGTACCGTGAGCATGAGGTGTCAACCTATATATACTACTCAAAAGAAGTTAAAGAACACCCGAATTCTTCATATGACTATGCCATCTGTCACGGCTGGTGGGTATTGCTAAACACAGCTTTCTAATTGTGGGTGTTCTTTAAATTGTTTTGAGTAGTGTACTACCTGTAGGGTTAATAGTGTAATGTTTAAATGGCAGTTGTCGAACAGAGTTGTCGTTGTCAACGTCGGTGTCCATAAGCTTACGGCGTTGCCGTGTATGACATACGCGAGCACATGATGACAGACTTTATGTCCCTGACCTGGCTTCTAGATCAATACGACCTGTGTTTAGCTTATGTTGTCACTGATACAAGTCTGCACGATTCTGTAATACATGATGTCAAAATACTGGTTTTGCTGCCGTACTAGTAACAATTACTTGATGTTTTGGAATTATTGATTTACATTAGATTCTTGTATAATTTAATTCGTATTTGCCCGAGGATCGCCTTTTTGCACAATCAGCATTGCTGGAAGCTCTCATAAAATCCCCGACCGTCAGTCATGATAACATATCCCCTTTGAGCATGTCACATCAGTTTGATCATTGGGTAGAGTCATGTTTTCAGGTATATCCTGGCACGTCAGCTAGCTTAGTGTCGGAGTGATGCAGGTCTTCGACGTTTACCATCTGGTGAAACCCACGGTATGGTCTGACGAACCAAGTCAGTTCCCGCGATCACAGGATCGTGTCACACCCAAGGGACGAAATAATGCGTCGCCTTAGATAAACTGAGGATCATAATTGGGGATAATATGGGATTCAATCCCACGATGACATTGCCGCAAACTCTTGAATCCCTAAAGATCCAGGGTAATCCGAGACGTATACTACGCGCAGAAGCGTACACCATCTCTTAACGTGGCTGTTGTTTTACGCAGTCTATATCACGGCGGCCTGTAAACAATCAAATGTGGGCCAGACAACTCACTGACAGATATTATGATAATAGCGACAAAACCATTTCTATAATCATAAAAAAATCCCCAAGAAGAGTCCATGGTACCATTCCGACTACATCATATGCATGTGCTTATAAATCACTATCCAATTGGTGTAAGAAGCATATTATTTAATTCTGGATTTTCCTTTGAATGGATCGCACAAGACATCGGTAATGAAAAACTAGCTTTAAATACAAAGATTATTAGATTAAATTCAGCAAAACTGGCATCAACAAGTTTCCTCTTCATACTTTCTCAAGCATTATTCTGGTATCAAATCATTGTTACAACAAGATTTTTTAAAACTGTATTACAAGATAAATCTCCATTAAGAGCTCTTTGTAAATTGAGAATCTTCCATGTCAATAAGTGTCGTAGAACCAAGGGTAGTGATTTTGTAAATTGTATATGTACTAACTGTACCAACCAAGACGAGTTTCATGTTCTTTTTATATGTGAAAAAATAAAACGTGCAGATCAAAGTTTCTATCTAATTTAGGCATTACACCCAAAGACAATCAATTAATGATCAATTTGTTGAATTCCAACAATGAAGATGTTATCAAATCTTTAGCAGTGTATTTAATACATGTGTTCAGACTAAGGTGAAAATATACCATGCTATGTTCAAGATCACGTTGACTTCATGTATGTTAAAACTGAACAGTACTGTGGGCCATATGACCTTTCCGACTGAATAAACTGTCTTTCTGATAACAAGTGTTCGCGAAATGGTGAGCGTATCCTGCTGCACCGGTGACACCCATCACAAACACATGCAAAACTCACGCCGTCGGATACGGTGACACAATCAACCAAATCATAGGGCCTGACCATTTAAATCACATTGTCGTCAAGCGATAGTTTTGTGGGGTCGAATTCTAACAATGGCCCCCACGAGGTTATCTACTTATGATAACTCAAGTAACTCCTCGAAACCCGTGAAAATCCGGATCAGAATTGGTCTTCCGCTTGTTGTAAGAGGCGACTAAATGTATCGTATGGTCAGGCTCGCCGACTTGGTTGATGCATGAATGGTATTCCAATTGCGTAGACCGATGTTCATGATGTCAATCACTAGGTTTCAGGTACAGACCGCCGTTATATAACTGAATATTGCTGAGTGCGGCGTTAACAACAAACAGACAAACAAACAAAAACTCCTTGAAAGGAATAAAGACATGACTCGAATGGCGGGTAGTTTAATGAAGTCTTTAATTACAAGAGCTGTTTCAACAATGGCGCTAGAGGGACCATATATACTTTAACACACAGAACAACACACCGCTCTTAAAGCCTCATAGTCCGTTCTGTACAGCAATGAAAGGACTTGAAAATCTGAAGTAAATATTTTCAAATTTTCTTTAACACTTTTTAGTAAACGCTTTTCAGTCTTTTCAGCACGTTTTCTCCCGTCACTTTGCCAAATATCAGGCGTGGCCACACTCGAACCGAAACTGGTTTGTGAGGCAGTTTGAAGTTTTTGTGAAACCAGTTTGGGCCTCCATATAAACTGGAGCCAGTTCACAGCGATTTAGATTTCCAGACTTGCAAAATGAACCCTCAATGAAGAAGTATATTCCGGTGTGGCCGTTGTCGTTTGTCTTTCCTTTGGGTAGTTATTCTGAGCTGTTACTAATTAATGGTATATATCAATTTATGTACAATGGAAGAAAATATATCGGGGTAAAAATCGTAATGGCAGTGAGGAATATTAAATCACACGTGAATCGGTTTCTTCCCTCGGTTGATTTCCAAACCCTTTTTTATGCCAAGCTGTTGCGAATATAACACTTGTTATAACAACCAAATGCCTTAAATTAGCCTTTAAATAAATATATGCAAATAAATAACAAATATGAAATATCCCTTAATTTTGTCAACAGTTTGGACATACACATATACAGTAAGTGCGCGCTTTATGGCCTCATTTTATACTGTTTCAGCATAAGATTCTGTTTCAGCGTAAGACACTGTTTCAGCAAAAGATGCTGAAATGCGAGCGCAGAGTGAGACGCGTTCAACAAAGTCACCATGAAGCATACGCCGTAACGTGGGATAGTTAAAATATCTGTACCAAAACCGGAAGAAAAGCTTTTCTAATCGAAACAAAATGTACAAAATCTCCAATCGATGCTTCAATGATTGTAACGTCGTCTGGCATACTCCAGGACCAGACACCGACTTGACTGGGATGCCCTACTTCACTCTAATACTTCTTCTGAAAATGGAAGTAAAGACATATAAGAAACATAAAATCGGGGGAAAGCCGTCTGAACATGCTAATTTCTGTATGGTTTTCCATTGCATATAACAAAATCTTTAACAACCGTAATATACTGAGCCCCGTTTCACTTAACGATCATACGTTTTTTGAGTAACGCAACGATCACTTTGTGAATTGGGCCCAATATATGATATTTTTCAGATTTTTTACTGGTGGATACGAAGTGATATTCTTTCCAATATCTTTCAAAGATAATATATACATAGAAAAAATGGTCTCTTATCATTACGATCAAATATTATCAAAGTAATATGGCAATAAGTATAAAAACAGCTTACAAATTATAATCATTCAGAAAGTGAGGAAGTGATTCAAAAAGTTATCTTACTGCAGAAATTTGAAATACTCCACTGATTGGCCACCAGCACGACACGTGACCGCGACACGTGGCCATTACTCGTAACACCAAGGGACCGTCATGCAATGGGAGCACAAACAACAGCGGAACTGTGTCAGTCACCAGGTTAGGATAGATATAAGAACAGGGTGAATAAACGACGCATCAGGTATGAAAGTCACCAATACTTCTTACCGTCGCCTTAATTAATCCGCTTACCTTGACGACAGCTATCATGGCGGCCGTATATCGGAAGTTAAACGTTTGGTGTCAAATGAAAATGGAAGCTTTGGAACTATAATATCGGTTCATACCCAGTGTGTCGTTTGTACATTCGCTTCACTGCATTTTGCCCACTACCAAGCAGCGAAGCAATTTGCAGATTTGTTTTTGAACCACCACTGGATTTGATTCAGTATGTTAGGGTCTTACACGAGGACAATGGCGAGAAACGTATGTAATTTCTGACCAGGGTTTGGGGTTGATGGGTAGCAAATAATTTGAATAGTTCGAATTCGGGAGGTCAGGACCAGGTGAACCAGTTATTGATATTATGAACAACGTCCCACGCCGTCGGGGTACGATAACACTCAATCAACCAAGTCACCAAGCCTGTCCCCCCGATCGATTTGGTCCCCCTTTACGACCAGCAGAGGTTGCTGGGGGACTAGTCTAACCCGGAATCCCCACGGGGTCCTATATCAGTACACAAATACGGATTTGATATCTATCTGTACAGGGGAGCACTCATTGTGCAAAATGTTGCGGGAAACCGGTGGGTGCAAAGGTTTGTATATTTGGAGGGACACCACTGGTAAGGTCTTTTTCACTGCAAGCCCGTCCGTTGCCATGGATACCTACCCTCCCGAGGGGACTAGACACGTGTTGCACGCGACTTTACTCCCGGTCTCTGTAATAGTTGGGCTCGCCTCTGCTCCTACACACTGTGCGCCTCAATCTCCTCCTCAGTTCGGAGACGGGCTGTTTTGGGGGCATACCGTATTGGCTCTGTCAAGGTATAGCACAATATGTGACGTCATATCCTTTTGATGACGTCATAACGTGTTCCAGAAACTCGGAAATCAACTGTCAATGTCAAGGACGTTTATGGAACCCATGCATATTTGTAAAGAATATGTTACAAAAACAAAATCACACCGCTGGTGGAAAGTTGTAAAGGCTTTAAGGAAATATGAGGAAAGTCCTTGAGATGACAGTGGATGACGGCAGTTTTTGTAACCCCTTGTTGTGCCCCAGTTCAGTTCCCTGATTTGTTTGATACTCGTAGATTTAATTGCAGAAAGCTGACGTTAGTGCAAAAAAACTGGGCTGAACTCAAGAAGCAACAACGGTTAAAACAATAAAGAATGTTACTGTAACAGTACTATGTGATGAACTCGTTAGGAAACAGTAGAATATTTAAAGCATTTAACAAAATTGACATGAAACCACAGCATGCAATAAGTTTGATAGATTCCAAACAACGTTTTGATAAATGTACATATTGAAGTTTACTTCTTGTAACGTTGAATATTTAAAAGTTGGTGGAAAGCACAAATGCTAATGTATATATGTGCACTACCCTAGGCGCTAAAACTCTTCAAACGATACATATTTATATTGTTTATATCACAACAGTCAATATATATATATATATATAGTGTAAACTAAAGTGCCACGCCCAACTGCAAACAGGATAGTGTGTATATCATACAATACTTGTCATGGTCGTCAAGATAGGTGTTATCCGGCATACATAACGATAGGCTGGATTTACAATGGACACTGATCTATCCCTCCAGTTTAACTCGGAACCCCTTCCAAATAAATATATATTATTTTATGGGCATCAGTGAAAATGTAAAATGAAAAATATCCCCCAAGTTTGACAATCGTTTTTGTTCCCGGAATATCAAGAATGGGATTTGTTGATGTCATGTTGGGAATCGAACCCGGGGCTCCTGCGTGACCCTGTTATTACCACTTGGGTACCCCACCCCGATATCACGACTAGGAGGTGGTTTTACGTCGAAAGCATCCACCCCTTTGATTTCTATGAGTTGAAAAGAATGTTGTCTTTATTTTCTTTCCTTGGCTACGATGGACAAAATATTTCGACAAAGTTCCAATATTCCTTTAGACTCCTGTTTTATTTGGAAGAATATTAACGCTATTTCCATGACAAGAATTGTTTATTAAGGGGAAGCGTCTACTATGGATATTGGAAATGGTCAAACTGATAGTGGGAATAAAAATAAGGGTATATATCGAAATAAGTATTCGGATTGTGTTCGGTTGTGTGCACCATAAACATATGTGATCTGCGATTTGTTCTTAGAATTAATAGCATAATAAATCTTTGAAAAACTTACGATTAAGTGAAAGGATGTCGCTATCAATTGTTAATCCACACACACAGTTATAGATTCACATGCAGTCCTTACCTCTTCCCAATGCAAATAATCCATATAAATGTATAATGTGTCTAAATTATATATTAAACATTTGTTTACCAATTTGAAAACTGTGAATAAATAAGTATGACAATCTAGACAAAATAACTATGAAAGGTATTTAAAAAAACGTACTCAAAATATTCCAAAATTCGTAATACGGGATGAAAGAAAATCTAAATCTTGGTTGATCGGACGTGTAGATCATTAACGTAACCTTTCACTTACATATTTCAATGAAGCATATTGTGATACAGTGAGACCTCGCTAGTCCGGACCCTGTTACTGCAGTGAACGCTGATGTGTATAAAACTAAGTGTCTTGCTACGTATCAACGATTCGTTAATGTGAAAATCCTGATGATTTCAGAGGGAACGCTCCCGCACGGAATAACGAGGTTTCACAATATTGAGTGTTTAGTGTGCCAGGTTAGTTGAACTAGAAGCAAAACTTACGACCACACGGGGAGGGGGTTTGTATACCGACAGGCGATCGCTGCTGACACTCACCGGGCCCCTGTAAGAACTTAAAAGTCAGAAAAAAATTTAAACATTCTGAAAGCACGATGCACCATTGCCATATGACCTCAACACTGTATGCCGCCGAGAGTTAGGCTTGCTTTCCGCAAAAGCAACGTTTCTTCATGAAACGTTTCGGAAGCTCTCAACATAAGCATAGGTTAAGCACACAGCAAAGGGAAACTAAGAACCGGTTAAGTCACAAAAACACTTGTGCTTAACGGCTGCGCTTACGTGTTTGTTCTAGTTCAAGGTGAGTTGCAAACATATTGATAAGCGCGTTTAAGTCTGCTAGGCGAAACATGAAATACTTGAAAATGTAAACGATAAGTAAAGCAAAGTTTAATCTTATAACAAATTACGATTAATCAACATTTAGTACAGCTTTAACATCGTTAAAGTAGAATCCTTGTGTTAGTAATGTGAACGTGAAGAACGTTTTCTAGTGTGGGTTAGGAATAAAAGTTAACCAAACAATAACGATATTACTAGCCTTGAACTGAAACAAGTGAAAACTAAATGTATAGACTTGCAAAAAGTGTGGAGACTGGTGCGAGAGGTATAGAGAGGAGGTGAAAAATATTCTTTGAACGGAAAAAAGTAAGAGACTACAAGCTACTTACTAAGGCAAAGACTTTCAGAAATTCTCAAAACTTGATTTTATTTGAAATATTTTTTTCCATATAAGCATGCAAGATAAAAACATTTAACTGAATTTACAATAGTGATCTAATATATATGAATTCCAAATTATAAATAAGAAAATTTTACAAGCATTATAGGTAAAGCATGCACCACACAGGCGAAAGGTCAATGTAAAACCAGAAAAGAGCATGCACACTGTTTATACAAACGAATTTCGGTATCTTATCTCGTGATAGTAAAATAGTATACTCTGTTCTCAACATTAACGTGAGCGGTGATTTTACATTTTAACATTTAAATCAGTTTTATGTTCAAAATCTGAATACAAAACTCGTTTGGCTAAACATGAATGTATCTTAGTTACCTCCCTTGAGCATAAACAATTATAATACAAGTATACATATACGCTGATATTCAGTTCAGTCTTCAATGGGAAAATACACCAATGGATTCATGTCGAATATTACAGATTGTATCTAAATTTAACATGAAAAAAAACTGCAAGGGAGGTAACTTTTGTCAGAACGTAAACAGGAAGTGACGTAATGGGTACATACGGGTCACGACGCTCCAGCTCCTCCATCTTACGCTGAACGCTTCCCTGTATGTCTCGGGTTGGGCCACTGTCGGTCAAGTAGCGGTCAAGCAGTTGACGGTGGCGGTCCATCTTGTCATGGGCGTCACGTACCTGCTCTCGCATGCGCGAGAACGATCCTGGTTTGTAGATAAGGTCAGCGGGGTCCATACGGGACTCCAGACGGTACTGTGGAGATTATTGGTTACTTAATAAGGAATTGTGGCGACAAAATCCTTTCCATTATTATAATCTCAGGGAAAAGCAGAGTCCACTGTTTGATTGTTTGTTGTTTAACGCCGCACTCAGCAAAATTCCAAATATGACGGCGGTCTGTAAATAATCGAGTCTATACCAGACAATCCAGTGATTGACATCAATAGCATCGATCCACTAAATTGGGATACGATGACATGCATCAACCAAGTCAGCGAGCCTGTCCACCCGACCCCGTTAGTCGTCTCTTACGACAAGCAAAGTCGCCTTTTACGACATGCATATGGGTTGCTGAAGACCTATTCCACCCCGGATCTTCACGGGTGCAAGAGTTAATAAATCACGACCATCCAACAATGTGACTTTGAACACATTTAATTTTACAATGATTCAAGCATTTCGTAATCCGTTAATAATCTTGTATGTATATCAAGACTGACCTTATCTGATGAAGTCTACACGTTATGCTCTCATGTTTCAGTCATTATAGTACAAACCTTTGTATCAAGTTACTTTGTACTAAGGTAAACATTGATATCACAGTGACACTTTCAAAGAAAGTCAATAGCTGGAATACACGTGTCAGTATAAACAAATTGAGAAAACCTCTAAGCTAGCTACATTGCATGCAAGAACCGTGCTATAGATTGTCGGTGGGAAGAGGACACAGAATTCGCAATACCAAAGTTATTGAAAATAATTTTTTGAACCTCAACAAACAAATCTGGTCGACCCTTCTATTATATGTTCGTACACAGAAGCTCGTACACAGACTCGGGGATGTACGGACAGACTACACACTCCACACTGGGCAGTATTTGATCTATGTTAGTACTGTACAATGTCCGGGAAGCAGGAGGTGTCATGTCATCTTACCAATACCATTGGAAGGAGTCCCATTTGTCATCTGTAAGCTGGGGCAACGGAATTAACTTCATGGAGAGAACAATATGATCTATGCATCGCCGACTTGCACAAATGCGTGAACGTGGTTTTTAGCGCGCTTTAAGCAATATGCAGCAGTATCATGGCACCAAAAATGGGTGTACACATTGTTTCTTATTGAGAAATCGAACCTGTGTCTTCGACGAACGTGTTAACCGCGTGACTGCTCCACCACCCAACCTGGTGTATAGTATAAATATAGTATCAACGTGTATTTGGCATTGCTACATTATACCATTCGCTCTATTTGTCTCCTTTGGGCTTCGGTTATGGGGGCAGACGTATCATAGATTTCAGTCTCTCAAATCAGTACAGTGTAGAATTAGAACAGATTGATTTCCGTTGAACTCGATAAGACCTTCTTCCGTGCTGTACTTAGACCTTTGAATACGCATTCAAATTGAATTAGAAAATTTACAGATAAAATTGTTTCTGAAATTCTATAGTAAAGTAAAAAATGTATAGTAAAGTCCAAGTTTTGGGATAGAGCAATGTATTTTTATCTCGAATTTATAGTGCGACGGCCGTGACCGGAGTTTAGATTTGACATATCGGTGCAATCCAGATAACGGGGTTCCAGATACCGATGCTCGACTGTAATTGCTCTTTATACTTCAGTGTGTTCTGTCATACATGCAACAGAAGATAGACAATATTCATGCAAATTCAGAAAGTTCAATGAAAAAACATATTAATGTAAAACATAACAATAATTTTCAAGGCCATAATATAATGAACATGTAGCCAAGCATTGTGAAATTAAAGTGTGATTTGCTGAAACAGAAAGATAACAGTAATAATTGATGAGTAAAGCTTAAGCAAAACAAGCTGCTATTGTTATATGCTGAGCGCAGATAGAAGTATTAGATGAGCGCTGAAGCTATGTTACTTGTTATGTGTTTTGTTGTTGTTGTACAAAGAAACAACCTACACTGTATGAGCAAATAATAAGTTGGAAGGCTTTGATGCAGATAGAAGATATGACTTGGTGATATAAATCATACGCCTGTGTAAATCAATGCTTTACGCTGTACCAGACAGCGCTCGAGTAGAAGTGTGCATTTTTGTCCTGAAAGGACCAAAGTGCCGTGATAACAATATTTGGAACAGATTTTATTTATAATGATTAGGATGTCATTGAGGCGTGATTTGATATTTTCAAACTATCCACACAAACCTGATAGAATGGAGCCGTGTTAAGTTGGTCGTACGTTTCGCATATTTTCAGTTTGGGTTGAGCTCGGAACATGAAGTAGCATGTCAAAATCATGAAATTAGTCAATCGTATCAATTTTTTTGAAGTGACAACAAATATTATTTCATTATGAACAAATCTGGACTTCGAATTTTCAGGAAAATGTGATTTTAACTGATAACGAAATACGTCCAGAACTTAGTAACATTATTGCCCCCAAATCACTTATCAACGTAATAAATGCCAATGTCAACCCTCTCTGTCCTTATGCTAGCCCCATCCTCCCAGGGTTGCGTGGAGATGATCCCATGCACACTCCGAACCAAAGAATTGGCATCATCAACACCTTAAGACGCACCTGCCACGACAGAAGGTTCCTAGGTTTGGTGAATCCCTCCACATCTCGAATAGCCCGCCTGTCTGATGGGAGGGGCTGGTGGGAGGAGGAAGACGGTAAGTACATACGGGTAACTCGATATCCGGGTATGTATCTCGCTTAGCACGTGCGTGTTAGTGGTGTATTCGTGTGACGTGTTCACTTTTTATGGTTTGCCAACGTGTGAAGGTTTTGTTTTATTTTGGGGGAAGGGTTTCACCCAATTTTGATACATTCAGAGAGATCTTCACAAAGTTATCTTATATGAATGAGTTTTAAGAGATGGAGTGCAAAGCGATTGGAACAACGTAATTTGTTTTCTTTGATATTGAAATAACCCGAACTAACCAATCTCCCAAATATAACATAATTTGCCTGGGGACCCAAATCAGTATTTCTAAAATGCATCATAACAAATATGGGGAACATAATGTATGTAATGTGTTGTTTGTATTAGTTATTTGCAAACAAGAGTTCCAGATAGGAAAAAGTAAAATAATGTTATGTATCACACGAGTGATAATAGAAAAGATGACGCCAGACACGTAGAGCACGTGCTGAAAGAGAATATTACACAGTTCGTACGGTACACGTTTTTTTTAAGGATGTCAATACAGAAGTATTTGTTTCAAATAGTCCTTATATATGTTTATTTTGTTACCTCACCTTAATGCAATTTTCAACAACAAAGAAGCGCTGTAGAAAGAGCGTTGCTAAGCGACATACATGAGTAAATAAACAAGATGAGTAGAACAGGAAAGGACAATGTCCGGGTGGACAGTGCTGCTCAGAAATACCAACGCCAGGCGCACACTCAAAATGCACGATTGTCGTCATCCATGTCACGTGGTAAGGTCGACATCTTGTTACCATTATTGCCTCAGCGGATCTGATATATTTCTGTTCTCTTCCTTGTTCATTGGGTGTGGCATGATTATCATTGAAAAATATAAATATTACCATACACGATAATTGTCATTAAAATTCTCAAAATATTGCTGTGGAAAATTAATATATGGAATTAAATTAAAGTTGGATGACCAGTAAATCAGCCTTATAACAATGCTCTTTGGCATAAAATATCTTTGAAGTAGATCCTTTATTCCCTCAGATATATTCATGTTGAGTCTAGGCACAACCACAGATAATTAAGCCCACAGATCCTGGTGCCGATATCGGTTCTTTGGGAAGTCAAATATTAAATTCCACAGTCTTAAAGATTCTCCACTTGGCGTTGTACTGTCCCCTTGCTGATAGCCCTCGCAGGATACGCGAAGACCGTGCATTTTGAGTGCAAACGTAGAACCAAGATGCTGATTTTGTGCTTAAAGGTAATTATAGTTCTGAACGCCAATACCTACCATTGCCCTCGGGGTGCGCTGAAAAAGACATAGCCTGATCAAGATCCAAACTCAGGGCAACGTTCACCCATATTAGCCTTGAAACTTCCACGAATGCAGGGTAGATCACAATCCCATGGCACTTGTGATTGAACAGGGAAACCACGCGTAAATCTTTGTTATTTGTAACTCGGGCTCATCACAATACTATGCTGTAACTCGTGGTCGTGCGAATCAGATAAATGTTTGGTTACGTATACAATTTGGAGTTAAGGTTCAAAGTGTCTTTGGAGACCTATCTCAGGCTGTCTAGCAGGACACGAGGAACAAACGGCTATTGTTGGTTACATGGGGAGGAGAGGCAAGATTTGACACGTGTACATGATAGTGGATGCTCGACTGAGTTCAAGATTGTACCAATAAAACTGCAGGGATAAGGTAAAATCCGAACCCACTAGCACAAAGTTTCCACTGAGGTCATGTAAGGGGGGAACATTTGACATTCTAGGAATATATCTCGAAAATTGTCGAAAATATTATTTTTTGTCCAAACAAGTGTTTGGTTCTTTCAATTAGACGAAACATTGTATGTTTTGAAGAGTTGAATTTTAAGAACATTCTGTCTCACACAAAAATCCCAGCCCAGAATATGAAATGCTCGGTCCCTCATAGATGTCAAATATGCCACTATAGTCATACTAGTGTCCACATCAAGCCCAGATCATACGCTATTTCCTCACCGCCCCTGATAGGTCATCGTATCTCTGAAAAGTCACGCCATTTCAAGTATACAACACCAGCTAATACTATTGAGTCGCAGCTTGGCATTAGACACAAACGTCTGTACGTATAGGCACAGAAAAACAAGTGATGACTAGAGGGTTTATGTCATGATAAGGCACTAAAATGTTGTTCCATTGTGTGTATTTAATTGAGTAAAATGTGTATTTTGCTTGTTATAGAATTTTTGTTATAGAAATTAAAGCTAACATTTCAGGATGTATGTATTATATCATGTATATATCTGTAAGACAAGTGTTATAAGTATGCTTTAACACCGCGATAGTCACAAGGATGTGAAAAATAACACATCAAGGGTAATACTATTCAAAGTGAAAATAATACAATATGTTACTCTTGATTTAGATACAGAGTTACATAAGATTTCCATGAGAAAGTACAGGCATATGATTTCAGATCTTCATTAATATGATTCCATATAAATATGAGTACAGATCGTTATAAATGCAAGTGCAAAATCGGTTCCACCCGAAGCACTCGTAAATTTTCTAACATCATCATCACCAAAGTTAAAATTCATTGAACACTTCTTTCTTTAAAAATTGCCGCGAGTAGTGCAATAGTTCTGATACGGCTTAAACTAATATTTACTCACTCGTGCTCTTTAAAAAAAACCCTTCAAATTTGCAATTACTTTTCAAAGAAATCTTTTTAAATGGTAACATGATATTGACATATGCGTCATGAATGGATAAACACACATTGAAAGGGACATACCAGTGGTGGTCTAGAGGCGGAGAGTCCAGAGGTCACCTGGGGGTACACACTTTCCTGAAACATAATACAGTCGGTGCGTATGTGCTGACTCGGCGAGGTGAAGGTATCTTGTCACATGACAGTGCAAATTCAGACATAATGATTGAGAAGGAACTGCCTGTAGGATTGCATATGTTGATTGGATAACGAGGAAGAAGATGTGAAAGAAATGAATGTCATGACCACTAATAAGCACATAAACAAATAGAACATAAAAACATAACTTGTTTGTTATATTTTCCGAATTTATTCATTCTTATATCCCGTTTCTTACAGTCATAGTTTCATATCGTCGGAATCGTAAATGAGCTCTGCTTTTAGCATATATTCTTTTGGTTATGGAAAGGGTTTTGTCGCTTTTATTTTAAAGGTTTACTCCTGAAAACCCAACAGTGACCATAATGATCTCAAAACCATTTTAAATGTCATCTAATCTTTGGCTTGTTCAGTGCTTGTTGAGTGCTTGTTCTTAAAGACATGATTCGTGAGACAGAGAGAAGAGACCACTGCAGAGGTGTTATTGAATGTGGCCTTCATTGATTAGAATGTTTCGTACACAGCTTGTTATTGACACACTGGGTTCTCGGTAATCTATTTTGAAGGTAATTAATTGGGACGTGGTGGGAGATGCAGTGGACTGGGGATGCTATTCACGAGGTGATTGTGTCACGAACTGAACGGTAACTATGGAAGTAATATATGGGACATGCTTTACATTTGTTTCAACATACCTGCAGAAACAACGACCGTCTCAATTGAGGGAGATCTAAACTTTGATCCAGTTTGTTTGGACTTTCCCTCAGTTCTAATTGAGGTAACTGTTGAAATCAAGATATTTGAACATTAAGGTTCACGTTGCAACACACGTGCCAAATTACTACTTCTAGACGAGTGCAAAGCCTTGCTCTAATTCTTGGTTTACAGACATTTCACCCCAAATATTTTCAAGAAGATATTCTTAATAAGTGATCTCCATAAAGATGAAAACAAGGAAAGGTCGAGTGAAAGGGTTACCTCTCCCCCCAATTGGCCAACTTTGACACTGTTTTCATTACGTAAACGAGGCAACATGCTGTGTGGGAAGAAAACAGGCGGTAGTTTCATACCCCATGTGTGAAATGTGGGTCGGCGTATCCATAAACCAAATAATTACAGAAAGCCTTCTAACAAAACTATATGGATATATAATATATTATATGGAACATACATCATTATTCCTACATGAACTGATCTCCATTTGTAAAATTTTCCTCAAAATGGGAATAATTATTTTTGTTATTCATTGATTGAAGTCAATTACGTCCTTGACTATATGTGAAACCTGTGTTGGAAGATCAGAGGGCATGGTTTGTGTTAGCCAGTCAAAAGTTAAGGCTTTATACTTCGCAAGGAACTACATTTTTTTCATGAACTAATCTTTGGTTTTGATTGTGCTGTGCAGTGTCACATCAAGGAGTGAATAAGCCAATTGTCAAAGCAGAAATCTTTAGGTACATGCACGTTTCGACTGGAGGGTTTTCACAGAACAACCATATGTTCTCTTATATAATAAACTGGGTATATTTTACTTGCTCTTTACATCGCTGACTAAAACAATTCACGTAACGATAACCAAAATACACGCCATTTCTATTCTTATTTACTACTTTCAATATTCATATTAAATAAGAACAGAAACGTCTATTATCTACTGGCAGTTCCTTCAACCAATCGTGTCAAAGACCATGCATCACGTGACCTTTCGGCTCCAAGGTCGCCGGCGTCCAAGGTCACACTTACAAATGGACGGGTTTTTACCTCGCCTCTTGCACGAGTGGTTCGCAATTTGTCTGCGGCGAACTTAGAACGTGGCCTTTTCCTCCTGGGCTCAACTTCAACTTTGCTTGCAACAATTGCCGCCTGTATGAAAAGCAAATGAATGAAATTTCAAGGCAGGATAAGGTGGGCCACAGCAGTGTTGAAAACTTGACACCAAGGCGCAGTCGTAGGAATGAGGACATATATACTACTCAACTTGTGATACGGATATATGTCATACCGTTTACCTAATCAGTTTGGTGTCTAAGAATAGTAGACTATCCCTATCAAACGTTGAGTAGCATACATGGAACATATGCATTATCAGATTGGTGGAACTTAGGGTAGTAGACTATCCCCAACAAACGTTGAGTGGCATACGTGGAATGATTGTCACTATGTACATGTAGAATGTGCTTTAAGGGGGCGGTCGGGTAGCCTAGTGGTTAAAGCGTTCGCTCGTCACGCTGAAGACCCGGGTTCGATTCCCGACATGGGTACAATGTGTGAAGCCCATTTCTGGTGTCCCCCGCCGTGATGTTGCTGGAATATTGCTAAAAGCGGCGTAAAACCATACTCCCTCACTCACTCACTTTAAGGCCATGAAAGTTTCAATATCCAAACGAGATCAAAACATCCTTAATGTAATGGTTAAAGCAGGTTAGTTTCACCAAGTTCTTAACGTGTACCTTATATCCGTTGAATGAGTTGACAAAGGAGTAACTGCAGATTGGGCGATTAATATATAAATCTTATGTTATTTTGAACTCCCAGAAGAATCACTTTAATATTCATAAATTTGTGTTTGGGGCACCATCAATGATTTCGGATATGACACTATGTTTATCACAACCAAAGCTAGTGATATGTACAGTTATGGATGTAGTGAGACATCGAGACTGCTGATGGCAAGTTTTCTTCGTATTACTGTGACCCAGTGTCTACAAGGAAATGCCTCACCCGGTGAACAAAAATAAAGGTGTACAAAATTGGTTAAATGGTACATTTTTCTTTTAAAATCTTACAAAAATGATGTATTAATCAACAAAATAACGGAACAAAATTAAAATATTAATGCTATAAATACGTTTTAAGATTGAATCATTATAATCAAATACTTCAGTTCTTCATTACTGCTGATGTACACTTTAAATATACCAAAGTTGTTATACAGACGTATTACCTTATCAAGACACTGAAAACAAGTGCAAGAAACAGTACGTTCATACAGAAGCATTCTGACAAAGAGGCTGGCTGATGTATGTTAGTGACACAGGCGGGTGAGGCATACCCAAGCTAATGGTGTTAAATACACAACGACTAACGCTGTCACACGAACTGACATGCTACAAGTAGGTGCCTTAATGGGAAACATGCAGACTTCTCTCGTTGACACGTTTAGATGTTGGATGTTTAGTGGAACTGTAAAACGCCAGATCTAAAATTAAATGTGAGTTTTAGGATCAACGACCGGTCTGTCAGAGAAGTCAGATAGCCACCCTTGAAGGGTCACCTGACTTGTAACTTATAGTCCATGCGGTCTCCTCATGTCCGCTCCACATGCCAACAATGCTGTAAGTACCAAAGGTGGCGGCCATCTTGAAAATGGCATGCTGGGTGAATTGATTACTACGCTGAAAACAATGAACTGTAAAAAGGATCAAGCATTAGCATGAACGAATCCAAGTCTGGCTGTAATATTAAGAACATGAAGGACAGTAACAGTTTAGCCAATTGTCGCATGCCACGTGGCATTAGTAGAGAAAGAGCAGCATATGCCACTGGCTGTTCAATAGTTTAACCCTTGAAGAATGCAAGCTTCAACATGATGTAAGTAATGCCAACATATGCGAATATTTGTTATTGGGCGGAAGCTGAACCATTATTGTGACAAAAGCGGAAGCAGTTATGATCCTACGGGAAGCCGTGTAAAAAGAGCAAGGGTTCTCTTGTGCACAAATTTTGAATAGGGTTTTGACGTTCCGAGGATACTACGGGAACCAATGATAGCATGAACTCAAATATGCTTGCCAAATATAACCCAACAGCGAACGAACTGAACTAAGGAACAGCCAAACAGTAACTACACGTCACCTTTGCTCTTCTTGGTTTTCTATAAGTGGCATATGCAGGCCACAGTGAGCGGAGTCGATAGCGAGGAGGAACTTTCGCGCGTTTTGGTGTGGCATAATATGTGAAAACAGAGGAAGCCACTGTTCGCTCCCGAACCACGACAGGTTGTCGCCCATACTCTTTAACAACATTCGAAGAGCGTGGCTCTCTGTCAGCAACGTACTCTGGGGCGCGCACCCGAGGACCAACGGGTAGCACGTAATACCCACTCCCCGGACCTGCGACTTGAATTAGAACGACTCTAGGTCTAGGCGTATAGTAGGCGGGAACTGATGCGTAAGGATAGCTAGCTACCTCATTCCGGTATAGGATAGGTTTGGCTTGTGGTTTGGCAGTTTGTTGGTTGGTTTTTCGTGCAACCCTTCTCGCTGCGACAGAAGACTTGGGTGTAGCGTATGCCTCACTGGATACCTGCGAGGAAGGGAGGGCACAAAGATCATGGAAGGAGTGGAAAAAACACAAGAGCTGCAAATTAAAGATGGTCTACATAATCTACAAACCTAGTGAAGCTTGGGAGTTTGGACCTGGTTGTTTTTTAGAATTTGTTTTTTGATGAAACCGTGTTCATCAAGATTGATTGGTGTTCCTTCATGTTCTTAACCGGTATCTAGTTAGCATTCAGGCAACCCACCGTCATTTAGTGCCAGACCAGCCTTTCTACTGATGTCAGTGCTTGTGAGTAGGGAGGAAAGAATGTAAGCCTAGTTAGTTGGTTTATTCCTAGTTAGCAACACACCTGTCTGAGGGGAGATGTAATGCGCGCAGCTCTCCTCTATCTAGGAGAGTAGGTTAAAACCGTTAGCATCCACTTAGCAGCCAGAGTCATACACAGGAACTAGCAAGTAAGAGAAAGAACCGGAATAGCCACTACATTGGGTGAAGCATCAGCCAGCCATTCACTAGGAGCAGAAGGGGAGACAGAGCATGTCCATAGGCTTGGCTAGACTACGGGCAGAACACATTACCTTGATTTTGATCTTATCAAGAACAGTAAGCTTATAACTGTCACGTTTGTCCTTGTCATTCGCAGATGCCGTTTCAGGTAAAGTGAGAGACAGCGTCTCCGAGGGCAACACACGCTCGCTGACAGGAAGCTCAATGACGTCAACACGTTGTGTTGTGCCCCCCTGAAGGCGTTTTCTGAAGGATGTGTACGGGAGGAAGTTATCTGTCGGCTTGCTAGGAGTGTAAGTTCCAATCTCTCTGTATGCAGATGGTACCGTTCTAGGTGAAACCCTACTATCAAGTCTGCTGCGGAAATCGGCACGAATATCTCGCAGCTTGTTCACATAGGTCCCAAAGAAACTGTCCACTATCGAGGAACTTGGCGAGGGAAGGCCAAGTACGCTTGTTCCCAATCCTCTGCCTACAAGTGGGACTGGTGGGTGGTAGTATTTAAATCCATATCGGCCGCCGGTATTGGGGGACACCACATCTCCTTCCACGCTTAGCACTAAGCTAGCATTATCATAGTTGCCAAAGCCATTGTTTTTGAAAGCGGTCCTTGCACGAGCAGCGGATGATGACACAATGGAATTCAAATACAAATCACTTCCCTTTGAACCAATATCTGAGCTGATTTTGGGAAGATATGGGAGTGTGGATACAAGTGGGAGCTCTGGTGCAGGAGGGGTGTTCTCATAGGGGGCTAGTTCTAGAACTCCGGGAGATTCAAGCCTTCTTCTCGGTTTGAAGGGTACATACTCATCAGGCTCGTCCATGTAACTGTCATCCCCATTATCCAGGTAACTTATGTACCTTCCCCCAGCAGCTTCTTCATCGTCCCAGTGGGTAGCATTGGCTGTACCATAGTAATCTGGTATAGATTCCGTCTCACTGAGGACATCCCCTGCCTCTGACGTGATGTCGTCTACGTCATAGTAAGGCCAGTACTTTGATGATCCCCTTTGCCCTGCCCGCTTTCTTCTAAGTCTGTCCATATAGTTACCAACTCGTATCTTGGTCCCCAAGACCTTTGGCCGACGTCTCGTGGTGGTCAGTTCTGGGTAATCAGGTTCATTCACATAATAATTGTCATATGTAGTCAGAGGGGTCCCAGCTGTGTATGTGACGGGGGTCTGCGTGCCGCTAGCATACGGTGACACTGATGGCGACAATGTCAGGCGTCTGGAAGGGATGTACCCACTTAGTAGCCGTGTTCCAGGTCGGGAACTGTAGGACGGGTACACGGGAGACTGTGTGCCACTAGCATATGGCGACACACTGACTGTCCTGTAGGCAAATCTGGGTGACACATACCCTCCGAGCAGCTTTGTGGTCTCTGTATATGCTGATGGTCTGTATGTGGGAGTGGTAGATCCACTATCAAATGCTAATTTGTAGGTAGGCCTCTTCGAGCCTAGATATGGCGATTGATAAAGGGGAGTCGTCGTCCCACTACCTAAGGGAGATCCAGAACGGTACAAAGTGCGAGGAATGTACCCTCCTAGAAGCCGAGTGGATGAACTGTCTGGCAACACACCGGAAGAACTGCTATCATAAGTGCTTTTGAGAGAGGCTATCCTACTGGCGGTGTTGCCTAAACTACTGTTCCTGGCGTATTTACTGACGGTGGGAGTTACATTTGGTCGAGGAGGTGCGCTGGCTTGAAGGTGTGAGGTGGGGAGTGAGTAACTTGTCTTACTGGATGACACCGGCGTGTCATCAATGTCGGGGGAGAAGGAACGAGTGATAGGTCGTGATAGAAAACGCCTCCCGGGAAGGGCGCTGGCTGTCCGGCTAGGCGAGGCCATCAGCGGCGAGTTTGTCGACGGGGGCTGCATGAATAGTGAAGGGACACCTTAGATACAACTTACTTTGCTCTGGTCTAAATTATATAGAATGTATGGTCTGGGTGATGGAACTAGTTGGACTAAGGGCAAATCAAAGGAAAATCACTATCTACATAAATAAAACATGAGAAGCATTGGGTTGTAGGTTGTAGTGTCTAATGAGGTTATTGGATATGCGACAAAAAAGACTATAGGACGGAATATGGCTACTTGTATGGAACAGTTACCTTGGCCCAGAATGGCATGATCTTGTAACACATGACGGTACAAATGACGTGTGTGTGTATGTGTGTTCGCCAGTGCCTATTGATAATGTCGATGATGTTAAAGATGAGGAATATCATCTGGCATAAGTCTAAAGGATTTGCAGAAACGCAGGTGTTGGGTAGGGCAAAACATGCTTTCGCGAGCACCTGTTGTCATCACTGATTTTTAGTGATCCATTTATATAATTTGACCTTTAACGCCCAATGAAATCCGTTTCGGCAAATAATTGAAACTAATTATTCTTTGGCGTTGACGTTTTAGATTTAAAATCATCAATGCATTCAGTAATAATATTGGTCACCAAAGATGTTGTTGATTTAAATTAATGGCGTTTTAACCCCGTTTCTGCAAATACTCAAATTCTAATAGTCATCGCTATTCGTCTTCATTGTACTATCGAAACACAAAGACCATGCAGTAGATTATTATATCGACAAGCCAGAATATGATGAATTACCAATATATGTGCTAAAGGAATAGGGACTGTGCACCATGTTATAAATTTCGTTTCAGATCAATCATTCAAAATATCTACAGACAACATTGTAATATTCATAGACTATATATCTAACGACAACATGACTGTGTTAACTTATATATATATTTTGTCATACACAACATAAAGAACCTTTAAATGAGAAATATGTAAAAAAAAAGATATACCACTTACATATATAGTTGCATTTTTGTAATTACTGCAATAATATTCATAAAAATATGGAACGTAAAGCATGTATCTGAAACGGAATGTTATGGAGTTTATTCGGGGAGTCATGGGATCACGCACACTCCTTCTGGTTGGGATACTATATGATTAAAAATCATTCTCACATGTTATTGATTGACTATCGAAATATAACTTCACGTAGTGTTCACGGAAATTACCTGAGTCCTCTATACTCCAGATTGATGTCATTGAGGATTAAATGATAAAAATGAAAGTTAATTTTCAGATAAGAAGTTTCATGTATGTAAGGGGAAGACCCACGGCATGAACACATCAACCGGGCACAGCCCTGTACACAAATCATGGTGAATAAGAACAATACAAAATCACAAACTGTAAAAACTAAATCTGGATTCAAAATCATTTCATATATTACAATGATCTAAATAATCAAATAAACATTGAAGGCAAAGTACAAAGTTTCAAGATTCACTTTGGAATATAAAATGAATTATGAGATAATTATTATAACCGACATACTAGCTATTTTTGTTTCCTTTCGTTATTTTTGTCGTTGTTTCATAAGCTTTAGAATCCCATTCAAATATATTCTTCATTGAAGTAAAGGTGGTACACATTTTATAATATGGACTGTAAAACAATATCTTGTAATATTTCTAGTCCACATGAAGCCTAGAAGCTGTTGAAGAAGTGCCTCGCTACTGTGTAAGCACCACACGCTTTGTGTCTCTTCAAAACTCGGTTCAAACATTCTTAACCCAAAAGCATCAATGTGAAATCGTTTTTCAATGGCGACAAGAATGTTGAAATTGGCAGTGTAGGAAAATGGCGGATAAAGGGAGGTAACTCACGATGGCTGCTGTGGCGTTTTGCAGAAGAGTCTGGTCCCGCCCTCGTGACCTGTTGGCAGTGTCGTAAGTGTCGTACAGGGAAGCGTCAGAATATGATGTGGCGTTAGTGACGGCACTGCCAAGAGCGTACTCCTCTGATGTGCTCTCTGAATACAGATTGTTTTATTAAGATGTCAAAAACATTTTCATGACAGTTGAAATTTGTTTGCAAAAAACATAACATTCAGCTCCACTCGACTCATTCCGTTACCTACAAGATTCCCCAGAAATAAATAAAGTAGTGCAGCACTGCAAGCCCTGCATAACGCAAGATTCCTCCGCACAAAGTTCATACATCATGACGGCCGATGTTTTTCCGAAAAACTGTTTTTTATGACAAAAGAAGTTCGGTATATTATTTGATATTGAGAAAGATTAATGTGAGGTCACGACTGCCCATTAAATAGCGCAATCTGAAAGTCACGTTCAATATGGATTCATACTGATACTGTCTGAGTAGACTTATTGATTGCTGTGTGTCGAATGCATCTATCAGTATCCTTTGTTGATGACACGTTCTTGACAAGACTTACTATTTTTTCCCCAAAAATGAAATTGTCCTGCAAATGCTTTTGAAAAAAAAATGACATTGGTAGTCACAAAAAAGTATTTTTCTTTCTTATTTAAAAATAAGACTCATGGTCTTGATTAAAAAATATATATCTGTAACTAAAAAAATATCTAACCTCCATACAAAATCCCAAATTCCCCTCACCCCAAATGGTCGGTCCCAAAGGGAAGGCACACGAAAGTGATTTTTTTAAATTTATATTCTCGGTAGCTCACACGTGGATCCAGAACGATGCTATTGCTACAGTCGAAGTGGTACAGTGAACTTTCGTTTTTAGCAGAGATTTCTTGTTATTATGGAAAGGGTTTTGTCGCTTTTTATTTACCGTATCCAAGCCTGCGTGGTATATACTCAGGGGCAAAGGCGTCGCTGTACACACGTCTAGGGTAGGCACCGAACGTCCCTCTGCGCAGAACGGAGTGGCCCCTTGTGCTCTGAAACAGGTAATACATTGGTTTTAGCGCCTGCGTGTATACCCAGGAACCAGGTAATACAGGGGTTATAGTGCCTGCGTGTATACCCAGGAACAGGTAATACAGGGGTTAAAGTGCCTGCGTGTATACCCAGGAACCAGGTAATACAGGGCTTATAGTGCCTGCGTGTATACCCAGGAACAGGTAATACATAGGCTATAGTAGACGGGTATACCCAGGAACAGATAATAAAGGGTGTTATAGTAGGCCGGTACACCCAGGAACAGATAATAAAGGTGTTATAGTACTTGCGTGTATACCCAGGAACAGGTAACACATGGGTTATAATAGGCGGGTATACCCAGGTAATACAGGGGTTAGAGTATAGATGTTATACCCAAGAACAGGTAATTGTATACATTGTATACATTAAAGCATTAACTCATAAAAACAGATGTCTGTTTTATGCGATATACCTTTGCAATGAGATTATTTTCAATTAATGTAGGTGATATCAGACTTTAATTAGTAGGTTAACGTATTAATAAATAGTTTCTTTTAATTCAATTAGTGTTTAGTTTCAAATGCATGGAACACAGCGACCTCCAAGAATGTGTTCCCAGTTATCTCCTCTTTGTTGGCTGCCTCTGGGTAGGTTTCTATCGTTAACAAGCCCACACGCGTTTGGAATGTTCATCACAACTGTGCACCTAATGCACATCATATTCAAAGTCAAAGGGGACCCACCATTTAATATTTAGAAACCGAATACTGTTTCGGTCACTTCGCCAAATACGCAATTTTCTTTTGTGAAAAGATGAACCGAACAATCGATACTACTCATAGGTGTTAAGGAACATTCGTTATTTTTTCATATAACTACAATCAATCGGTTATGGCTGGTGGGCATTGCAACACACATCCTTCTTTTGTTCCTTTGAGTAGTATACATTGTTTTCACTTTTGTCGGGAGAACAATTTCTTGTTTTTGATGAAACATATGATAGTATTTCTTCCCAAACAACCGATCGCATCAACTCCATCACCACCATCGCCCCAATATTGCAAATTCTTATGAAATATAATTACAACAGTGAAAAGGCCGCCAAGGTGACAAACAAACTGTATTTTCTCAACACATCTTTGCAGCAACACCATATACACTTCCGTAATCAGCAACGGCAGTAAACGGTCTGCGCGAGGGCAACTATGTCAGAGGAATCTCTGGCACTGCAGCAACATTTGCTGACTGAGCAGATTCGGTACAACTATTCACAGGTCTTGTCGTACAGCTGTGGAGTGTGCGTGGCAGGCGGAAGTTGGAATGTGAGGGAGTGAGTTTTCGAGTAGAGTTTGAACCTGTTTTTGGTAACATTCCAGCATATTTACGGCGGGGACACCAAAAATGGGGTTCAGGCAGTTAACATATTAGGGGCATGGAACCAATGGTCCATCTAACCGACCATATAACTAATATGATATTTATAACCACATCAGGCAGTTAACATATTAGGGGCATGAAACTAATGGTCCATCTATCCGCCCATATAACTAATATGATATTTATAACCACATCAGGCAGTTAACATATCAGGGGCATGGAACCAATGGTCCATCTAACCGCCCACATAACTAATATGATATTTATAACCACATCAGGTAGTTAACATATCAGGGGCATGGAACCAATGGTCCATCTAACCGCCCATATAACTAATATGATATTTATAACCACATCAGGCAGTTAACATATCAGGGGCATGGAACCAATGGTCCATCTAACCGCCCACATAACTAATATGATATTTATAACCACATCAGGCAGTTAACATATCAGGGGCATGGAACCAATGGTCCATCTAACCGACCATATAACTAATATGATATTTATAATCACATCAGGCAGTTAACATATGAGGGGCATGGAACCAACGGTCTATCTAACCGCCCATATAACTAATATGATATTTATAACCACATCAGGCAGGTACGGGCATGGAACCAATGGTCTATCTAACCGCCCACATAACTAATATGATATTTATAACCACATCAGGCAGTTAACATATTAAGGGCATGGAACCAATGGTCCATCTAACCGCCCATATAACTAATATGATATCTATAACCACATCCTGCTTCAGGTTAAGTGCGTGCGTGCGTGCGTGCGTGCGTGTGTGTGTGTGTGAACAAGTTTTTTTTATGCTGATCAATCATTTAATGATTTCCCTGATAACATGGTACAAGTGACGATGTTTAGACATTTACAGGAAATGAGAAATGAGATCCATATTGTTGACAATGGTCCCTCTTTAATGACTAAAGCATAATATAAATTTGGGTGTAGCTTCTTTAAAAAACACATTACGTTGTATATTTTGGACTGCAGGTGTATACAAAATGTAACTTGTCATCACATATAATTTCGACACAGACATGTATGTAGGAAATATATTTCTACTCTGGAATGTTGAGGTGATACAGTATCTTTATTCACCCTATCCTAAAGTATGAATCAATGGATTAATATAATATACAACTATTTTTTTTCAAAATACTTTCGTTCCCCCAAAATAAAAAATATTTTTTCTGACATGAACCTCAAAGTCATCACTAATCTTTTGAAACCGGTCTGAGTTTTTCAATCCAGAATCTCCATTCCGGAATCCGTCAGAATGTGGCAAGACCCACGTGCGAAGCTGGAGTGGGATGAAACCCGATACCCCTGACACACGCCGCATTCCTCCTAGAAACACAGCACCCATACAGGAAGAGCCTAATTTAGCTGCGCTCATCTCAATACAGTGATAGATAGGAGAAGAGCTCCACGAACGCGCGCTTGTAAGGTTGCCATGGAAACGGATAGGTAGATAAAGCAAGAGCGTACTTCAGAGGACTTCTGACGTAGACTCGTAGAATACCTCCGCGTTAGAGCGAGATAAACATCTTTATAGCAAAGCTATTTCTGTGATAACAATCTTCTTATACACTTAATATTTTACCTACGAAAATTCAAATGTGCCCCCTCCTCCCCATTGTGCATGGTGTTTCTGGTTGCCTACTGCAGAGATATTACTTATTTGATATGATCTATGTAAAAAGGTATTTATATAGTCTCCTATCAACAATATTTAAAGATAAATTGTTTGATAGGCATTACATATTTAAAGATATTTCACAGCATTTCATTACATTGAAGTGGGATATGGTCATAAGAGAATAAAATACCAATTGCAATAGTCATTTTTAATTAAAATATTAATTGCGAAAGAATCTCTGTTCACATCGTTCTTACAGAATAGCTTCAACATCAGCTAACCTATAATATACAAAACATCCTCTTTCGCCTACCATTGGCGACCTGTGAAGATTCGGGGTAGAACTGGTCTTCAGCAACCCGTGCTTGCCGTAAAAAGCGACTAGGCTTGTCATCAGAGGCGACCTAAGGGATCGGGTGGTCAGACTCGCTGACTTGGTTGATGCATGTCATCGTATCTCAATTGCGTGGATCTATGCCAATGATGTAAATCCCTGGAATGTCTGGTCCAAACTCGATTATTTAAAGACCGCCGTCGTATAGCTGGAATATTGCTAAGTGCGGCGTTAAACAAGAAACATACTAATGATAAAGATAAAGTTTGCAGGCAAAGTGGCTTGATTTAATGGATCTTGACATGTATTTCTATTCAGCATTTTGGGCTCCAAGGTTAGCATGTAACATCTGTGGCTGTGCCTTCAGCGACGAACACGGTACATATAAAGACTTGAAGAAGCACCTCCGTGTACACAATAACAAGGGGCTATTATTAACCTCTCAGACTGGCAAAGAGCGCATCAGCCCAAACCGAGAAAAATTACATACAGATAGACCATAGTCTTATCAGTGAATCAGAGACTGAAAGTGCAAAGCGGAACTTGAAGGAATTACTGTGTGTATTCTAGCAACTTCCAAGGCCACGCCACATGTTGTTTCTGTGGAATAACCGCACGCGCGACACTGTGTACATTTGAACCTCGATAGTCTGGACTTACATATACACATAAACACTCCCTGCTCTCTATTAGTAATCTGGACTATTTTCGTGGAAACGTTGCTTTCCGGAATTCGATCGTTTAATTATGCTGAATTATGACGAATTTTGGAGTTCAAGGATATTGAACTGTATTAAGTATTTATTACATTTTAATGATGTTAAGTTCGGTGTTTTCTTGGGAAAATTCGGTTTTGCTTGTTTGTCTGTTGTTAATCGCCGCAGTCAACAATATTATAGCAATATGACGGCGGCCTGTGTAATAATCGAGTCTGGACCAAACAATCCAGTGACTGATACTTTTCGTCCAGTTCCACGCTCTCGGCTACAATGACACGATGTCAACCATGGCACCGAGTCAAACAACCCGATCCATTTGGTCGCCTCTACGACCAGCATGGGTTGCTGCGGACAATTCTAACCCTGAATCGCTTCTGAAAATGAACATGATATTCAATATGACATATATATCTGCCACTAGGTGGGGTGTCCGGTCAGAGATATGTCTTCTTAAAAAAAAAGATCTGTGTAGCCCACACACGGACATACGAAACTGAAGAATGTAGGGTACTAAGGGATGAGCATATCCGTCCAGTGTTGCATTCGATAATCACATCATGACCATTTCAGTCTCGACGTTCGGGATACCAATGAGTGTGTGTCGAGCCATAAAGGGTGCAGCTGTTAACCATGTCTAGATAGTCCCTAGGAAGAAACGAGAGTTGGTGAAATGTCGACGCGTCCCAAACTATTCCCCAAATGCAATGTCTAGGTAATCAGCGGGTATAAATATATCCACTCTCTTCAGCGTACGGCGATTCTGCTGCAACTGTTGTTGTTACGCGCAACGAGTAGACAAATGAAACTTAAGTTATGGCAAACTGAGTAAACGGCTAAATTTAAACTGTCTCATGTTTCAAGCCAAGGGATCTAGTGTTACGCCAAATGGTCTTATCACTCAGGTATTTGTGTCTCGTAGATCTATGCACT